AGATTCAAAAGAAAGTTAAACTCTAAAGCCTGAAATGCTGAATTTGTAAGAAGTATGAACGTTGCCTTTAGATACACAAGGACTAAATGACATTACAAACATCACTGTTATAGGTAGGTCAAGGTCAAAGTCAAATGTATTTATATAGCACATTTCCAGACAGACCATGCTGCACAAAGTGCTTAACAATAAGAAAATAAATGCCATTGAAACAGAAACAATGTATATAAAAAAAAGTACAACAATAAAAGTAAAAGGACAATAAGAGCACAAGAGACAATAGTTAAGTAAAGATGACCTTTAACCTTAGTGGATGGTGTTTAAGAAGCTGGGAAAGTTAAGAACATTTATACCAGAAGACTTGCAAAAGCCTCACTAATATTCTAATAACGACAGCTAATGACTTAGTAGCTAAAGGTTATTAAAAAATTTGCTATTTTATTAACCTAAAAGCAAGGGTAAATGCACGGCGGTGCAAAAAAAGAACCAAGGTTTCTTTCATTGAAGTCACAGGCAGGAAATCAAACAGAGAGCAGCAGAGGCAGATTCAGGCCATACCAGGGTCCAGAGAAATAACAAAAGCCAGAAAGTAGCGTAACAGGATATAAAATAGTTCTTTCTTTGATACACTTATTTGTTAAAAGAAGGGACAATGCACATTTATTAACACACATATTAAATCCACTCTGCAACCACAGGTTACAGTGCTGCAATTTCACCCCTTCCATGTTTTTGCTTATTTTCAAGCCTCTTGTGCCACCAGGTGGTTGGTGCTATGCTAGACTTCACTGAATTCAAAATCGCTGTTTTTTCCATGCTTCTATTTGACCATAATATAATAAACAACATCTGGGTCTTCTTTCTTCTGATTGGCTGCCCCTCACAAACACAGAGTTTAAACAGCATCATAAATATCCAAGATTAGAAAATAGTGCCTAAAGAGTCTGTATAGCCCAAGATTATGTCTCACTGTGATCTCTAGGCTGACTTCATTTATCACTGTAACCTCTGTAATGCGTACATGAGATAAATGCTTAGATTTAGAGAATTGTGGGGGGGTTTTTTGTTTGTTTTTTTACCTGATTTGCCCATAGTGTCTGTCGGGCATTATCATCCTATTTTTCTTTAATATGTTGTAAACATTTAAAGCAAAACACCCTGAATGAAAGCTGAAAGTCTTCACTTCAGTCACATCTTGACTGTGTGGTTTCAAATCCACTGTGTACGCACGTCTAATTATTTAAAAAAGAAAAGAAGTTTAAATGTAAAAAAGTCTTAGTTAGTAGATAATACTGTTCATTGGATGTTGGATGTTTTTAGTGTACGTGCTGATATGTAATGTCATATAAATATGTAGCACTGGCGTTGTCTCACAAAATTATATATTCAATCGGTGCGTGTAATGAAAGGATCAGAAAGCTGAACTTGAAATTTTATTTATTTTTGAGCTTTTATCCTCTAGGTGGCAGCATTTTGCACAGTATGAAACTGATAAGAGCTCCCTATTAGATACCACACTGACAACAAAATGGCTTTATCATAATGTTCCAGATTAGTTCAAAAGCAGGACAGAAAGGACGTTCTGTCTTTCAAAAGATGGGCAGAAACACGAGTCTTCTCTTTTTTTGCAATTTCATTCTTGTGACACACGCTGTGCCCGATAACTGTGAGATTTACTGCGATGCAAGACCAGCTGAAAGGCATTATATTCATTATATTTTCAACATGCATTCACAAAAGCCATTTAAAAAAAATGAGAGTAAACCTGCAAGCGAAGAGTTTGTATTTTACTACTTTGTCAAATACATATAAAGACAAGCTTGTCCTTTCATCATCAACAGTTTCCAGGTTGTTGTTTGACTTTAAGGCCTTTGATTTTGATTTGGATGATTATGAGACAACATAATCTAGTTCGGCTTAACAGAAGTACTCAGGGTTCAGCTGGTCTCAAAGCAGATGAATGAGCTGTGTCAGTTTCGGCTTGTGACTCATTAAACTGTAGACTAATCTTCTTGCAACCTTTTCCCAAAGGATTCCTGTTTGCCTGTCAGCTATAAACAGTTCGAGCCGAGTTATCATTGCTTCTTATGATGTTTGATTAATATTTAAATTAATGGAAGAGAGATAAAAATTAGAGAAATCTAAAAGAAATGCTTTTTAGTAGAAGACCTTTTCGTTTTTATGAGCTGCTACAATTATCTTCTGACTCCTGTGATTCATCGAGCCACCCAATAAAGGGCTTCAGACATTTATGTTCTTAGTCACATCTAAGAGACACGCTTTCATTATGAAAATGACACATCACTTGTGGAAAAAAAATTGCTGCTTTGTCGAGATTTGTGCACATGTGGTAAATGGGAATCATGTGATTAACAGGTGACTTGTATTTAACTTGGCGTAAGCCATTTGCTTTACAATACATTCAGCAGTGACACACTTCACAGTATTAAAAGCTCGGTTCAGTCCTTCAGGTTTGAAAATCTTGGTGTTTTTATTTTAAGTATTGCATCATCAACTTACACAGCTAGAATCGTCATCAGAGTGCATGTTTTACAAAGGATGGCCACAGGTTCAGAACAACAGGAGGGCTCCCTACTGCACTTGGGACTGCTTGTTTGGTTGGGCTAACTTGACTTCGTGGACCCGTTTGCTCAAATCAACCCCCTGAGAGAGACTGACACCAGAGTGGAGTGGGGTTTTACAAAGGACACTGCAACTTCCACTTCACGGGGCTGGTGCACTTCTGGCCAAGCTGTCCCCTAACCACCACTGAAACCTTAAACACAGGTAAAAATACAACTTTGTGATGAGGATATGCTAATGAATTTTGCAGCATGGCCAGAAATGTTTTGTCAGACCTCTCAATCAGCTGATCCAGGACTATTCTGCACTGGACTGAACATCTTTTGTTTTTGCATCGTACGCTGGAGAGCTTGTCTTTTTTTAAAAATGACAAACAGCCTTCAGAAGTGTGATATTTACTGAGTATCAAAGTGGCAAACAGCCCACTGACATCTGTGCAGACTAGTCATGGACTAGGTGCCTTTCTAAAGCTCAGCTTTAGTAAGAACACAGAGATCACACACATACATACACCCATGCACACACACATAGTAGACTCACATGAGTGAGGACAGACCTGGCCTCAGTAAAACCAGTTCTTTTAGTGTTGTTTTTGTTTTTAACCCGTCCTGGAATCATCTCGCATCTCAGCATTTTACAACGTGGGACAAAATGACACACATTTTGTGATAAACACTCAGTTTGTCCCATCATAGTAAAACACAACATTGTGTACTGTGTGAGCAGGTTAAAACACTGCAAAGAACTGATCGAGGTCTGAACAAGAAGAGAAATTCATTTGTCGCAGAACACTGAGACCTTTGTCGTGTCAGCAGTGCAGTTTCATAAAACCAACATAAGAAGAAAGCAGAAACAAAGATCAGATAAAGGTAATAACTTAAAACGGGGCAGAATAAATGTAAACTGTCCTCCACAGAGAGAGAGAAAGAGATAAAGAGAGAGGACACTGAGGTGTTCTGAGGTGGTTTTGGCTTCTTTTTTTTTTTTTTAAATATCTGAGCACCAAAAGTGGTGACTTTCTGATTTAGTGCCAAGTCCAACAACCTCAACAGAGCTCCGCAAAGAGCGTACATGTCGAACTCTACACCGTAACGATGTCCATCAGAGAAACCGAAGGTTTTGTTCTTTTGTGTTTTTATTTCTTTAAATCCTCAGTCGGAGGAGTTGTAAATGTAAGACACATTTTGTCAACTAAAACAAGTCTAATAGAGACTACAATCCTCCTAATAGAGGAAAGCGGAGTTTTAGACCCCTTTTATTTCATAGCAGCCGGCTCAATATTTGCCAGTAAAGTCTTGGCTATGGGTGAGTCTTGTGCAGAATTAGCTCCCCTCAGCACAGACCCAGAAACAAAGTCGAGAGCATTTCACCTTGCGACAGCAGAATGGGTATAAAGGTTCAGCCTGTGCTCCTGTTTCAGGTCTGTGATGCTCCTCACAGGCCTGGTGTGTGGCTGGGGAGTCAGCCCCGAACAAGGCTGGTGACTCTAAACAGGCGAGGCTCAGCACTAGGAGCAGCTTACGGGCCAATTACATTTCAAGTGTCCATTGAATAAAACAGCAAAAAAATGAAAACAAAAAAATGGCTACATTTTCTTAACCACTCTCCCACCCACCCGGCAAAAAATAGAAAGAAAAAAAACAAACCTTAACAATAATCCATAAAATATACATTTTTTTAAAATAAGGAGTGAGGAATAAACATCAAAGAGAAGAGTAAAATAAGACAGAAACAAAATAAGTTAACCTTCTCCCCATTGCGTGTTCTTTGAGGGATTGCAGAATAAATATTCATCATATTCTTAGTTTTTTTTCTCTCACACACAAAATAATGGTTGGCAGCGCAACACGACAGTGGTAAAGAAAAACAAAGCGAACTGCAGCCGAAGTGCAATTCTTAATGCCGGTGGAGTAGGGATGGAGTACATTGACATCATACAACCCGTTTTCTTTTTCCAATCCCTCCACAGATCACCTGACCACCATTGGAATGCCATATAATATATATTTTTTCTTTTTACTTAAACCGCCATTCACAAACAAGAGAATAAAAACTGTCTAATTGATTAAAAAAACAAACAAAAAACAAAAACAAAAAGAAAACAGTGAGAAACAAAGTCTGCATTTTCCAACAAATGCCATTTTAGATCACTGTTTACAACTGGATGGAAAGTCGTTCTACTGTTTCTATCGAGGATATCGTTCCTTTTACCTCCTCGGGGCGGGGAGCGGGGACAGAGAGGGTAGCGTTTGAACGTTTCCATCAGCAAATTTTATCGGAGGATAAAAATTGTTCTAAACTTTCAATTTAAAAATGCACAATAAACACAGGTCAAACAGCAACAGAGGCAATAGTTCTATCTGTAAGCACTACTTTTTTTGAACTCATTTTTAAAGTTTTATTTATTAAGCTATCTGTATGTACAAAAAAAAAAAAAAAAAAATGTGGACGGTCACATGAGTCTTGAGGGAGAAAAAAAACAAACAAAAAACGGGAAGGAGTTCAAACTGACGAAACAAAAAACTGCACGAGTTATTGCTTGTTACTGCTGGAGAGAAGTTGGACATCTGTTCCAAAGCTTGTAGTTTGGATTTTTTTCCCTTGTTGCTGTTGTTTTTGTGTGTGTGTGTTTCTTCCTTCTTGGTTTGTGCCATTTCTATGGACAGCTCTAAAGTAGATAAGTGCAGGATAGCTTGTAGTAGCTGCTTGTCGAGGGGAAAGAAACCAAAACAAAACACACGCACACGCACGCACGCACACGCACACAAAGTTACAATTTCCACTCTTTGAAAATGCACTGAGCACCCACATCCGACAGGAATGTTTTCTTATTTTTTTCCCTCCGTTTTTGTGGCTTGTTTTCCTCCGTGTGTGGTCGGAAACAATCACGACAGATGCGCTTTGTTCGCTTTAAAAGCTTAGTGGTGGATCTGATCTGCTTCCCCCATTGGTTGGTTGGTGGGTTTATTTCACAATAGCACCAATTCAAGGGTCAGAGCTTCTGTGGTGTAGAGCACAGGTAATATGAAAAGAAAAGAAAAACCTCGATAAGACGAGGAAGAAATTCAGGGCTGCGGGGACGAGCTGTGTAGATATGGCAAAGTTCAGCCTCAATCCAGTCCAGATTTAGCCAGGCCCAACGCCAGAATAATAAGATATAGGCAAACACCCACATTAGACAGAACCAAACAGACAATTATATTAATTAAAGAGCATTTTAGTCATATTTGGGGCTGTGTAATTTGAAATACATTTGGGGATTTTAAAGGTGTGTGGAAATAGCAGATAAAAATCAACAGTTAATTTTATGTTGTGGCTTCAAACTTCAAGATGATGTCTACGTCTCTGGTCCTCCTTTTAAAATAAGATTTGAACCAATTGGCAGTCTGTGTCTGGGTCCCTGGTGTCAGTGTTGGTCGGAGCGGTTCAAAGTTCAGAGGCGAGAAAGAGCTCTCACTGGAACGCCTCCGAAAGTGGGTTGAGCAGCGTGGAGGGGAAGCGTGGGGCAAAAAAAAAAAAAAAAAAAAAAAGGCTGGGAGCAAAGGGGGGACACTATTAGCTGGGTGCGTGCCAGTCATCGGAGATGAGACTGGATGTGTGTGTTTCATAGGCATGGCTGGATGGATATAACAGATGGGAGGGCAGGCGAGTTTGGCAGGAATGTGATGGTCACGTCGGTGGGGCGGGGCTCTAGGAGGAGAAGGCAAGTTTGACGCTGCAGGAGGAGTAGCCCTCATCACTGGCCATGCTCTGGAGGCTGCTGTGGTCGTCCAGGTCGCTGGTGCTGGCTGTGCTCACACTGTCCAGCTCTCCATGGGAGAACTCCGTGCTTTCCACGTCCACCTCAATCTCCTCTGTAGGATGGAAAAATGATGAAAGGGGAGAAGAACAGATCAATTTAACATATTTCCACTTTCATTGAGGATTATTAAGAAAACTATTCTCTGCTGATACTTTATTTCTGGATATTTTAAGAAACTTCCTACGTTTTATATTGTTTGCCATGTTGTTTTCTCCTTTGGATAAAAGCGGTGCCAGAAATTTGTTTGTTTTGGAGTTTTTTAAAGATACAATATCTTAGAGAAAAACCTTACTTATACAGCAACATGCTGTACTGTATGATGACACAGTATCTTACACAGTATCTGGCTTGTGCCACAGCACTTTATGAAAACAAAAATACAGAATATGAAAAGAAAGGAGATTGTAGTCAGTTTCATTTTCAGTGGTTAAAATTGTCACCTCACAACCAGGGTGACACACTAATGATGGCTTTAATGCTTCTCTGTTAGGTTAGAGTCATTTTAACATAAAATACAAAGGAAAACATGTCCCTCATACTTGACATCGTTACAAACAAACAGACACCATGTTGGTTTTGCTTCAGTTCAGGAAACATTTTGCATTTTAAATCTGATGTCCTTCATCAGCACCTCGACATGCAGTCTCAGAGGAGCTCTGACCAACCCAACCTCAGTGCTATAAAATTAGACCGACAGCAGCTGGAGGCTCTAGCTGTTTTCACACATGCACTGCAGTCATGACAGAGGTGCATGTGAGAGCACAAATGTCCAGTGTACTCATACTAGAAATGAGCTGTTTTTTAACCTGCTGGCCCCCTATTGTAAAGTCCTTGTGATGGCAGATAGCGGAGCGCAGCTAATACCCTTGTGAATTTATCCATGTGTGAAAACATGTTTTGATAGCCGTGTAGATGCTTAATTAAAAATCATGCATGCCACCTTACATACCTTGATCAGAGTCAGAGCGGTCAGAGCAGAGGGTGGAGCCCACACTGTCCATGCGTATCCTCTCTCCCTCCCCTGGGCTGTTCTGGGCTGCAGCACCACTGCCTCCACTCAGCAACTCCAGCTGACGCTGAAGGTGCCTCTGCTCGCGCTCCAGAGACTCCAGCTGGTACTGGCTCTTCCTGTCCGCCTCTTCAAGTTTCTGGTGAGGTGAAAGAGAAGAGGAGAGGAGTCTTCACCAAAAGATATTATAGACATTGTGTTGTGCTAAATAATCATATTCATGACTTGTAGGGATCATTAGTTATAAAAAACTTTACTGTCTATGACAGGGAGGAAGAAAGACATTCAGCTGCTTTGCAAAAGAAACTCGATCCTTGTTAATACTTTCTGAAGTCTTACTAGCTTGTAAATGAATTCATTGCTTTTCAAGGCTTGCCAATATCCTGGAGAACGCACAGGAGGGTTAAGTGTGTAAGCAAGAGGAAAGCCTCATAAAAATAATGCTGAGAAAAGAGGTTAGACAAATGAATAGCCAGCAAAGAAACAGGCCTTTTTCATACATTCATGTGAGAACACAAATGTCTGAATCAATGGGCTCAGACTAAACGGACTTTTCTCCGCCAGCTCCCCACAAACTCTGGTGTCAGATTGAGCCCATGTGAGAACAGAAAAGGTAATTGTCCAGAGAATTCACAGCCATCGAGCCTCCATAAAAGGGTGTGAACAAACACATGGACAATGCCCCAGAAGCTCTTTAGTATTCAGCAAATTAAACAAGTTTGTCCCATCGGATTTTCCTGCTGTCAGCGACGACACCCCTAAATGATTTTCCTCACCTGTCTTGTTTACACCGTGTCGGCTTGTTTACGCCTTGCACCATTATGATACAAATGAAGGCCGTGGCAGGGCCCGATACAGCCACATTGTGATGTAACCTTGCAGCCTTATGTCATGGGTGCCAACATTAATGAGCGTGACTCCCAGCGACAGACCAAAACAATAGGCCATCAATAAGCGATGAAGAGACTCAAGTTGACAGCAGCAGCAGAAGTGCGAGCGGCAGAGCTGGCGGAGGCCCACCTCAACAACAATATCGCCTTTGTACATGTCCTGTCTGTTACGTGAGTGCATGCTATGCCTCGCTTTCCCCTTACAGACTGCTCACTCTCAGGCAGTCACATGCCTGCTTTTAAAGTGGATAACAAAGTGTGAAGTGTTACACTGCCTGCACAATTACTGTGGATTCATTTTATCATAAAGGTAAACACGAGTTTGGTCTTTCCAAGCAAAATATTTTTTCATGTGTGACGAATGACATGACACACCATGTCCTAATACTTTCACCTTTCAAATTATTCAGTGATCTATCTAACAACCCTTCATTTGAATAACTGGCACAAAGCCTTGTTTTCTTTTGGGGGGGGGAGAAGTTCTCCAGTCCACAAGTTCTGAACAGAATTTTACATCAGGTGAATATTCGGTCATTTTCTGAGGCCCTTTGCAGGTGAAAGTGTGTGATGGTGTATTTTCCTTCATGATCATGGCATTCTTCAAACAGCAGACGGACTGACCGTTCTCAGGCAAGTTCAACTGAAATGCTTTGCCACACAACACTATCTAACATCTCATTCAGAAATCTGTCTAAATGGGGGCTGGTTCTCAGAGGACACCAACAGGACTGGCTCTGCATGAGCACTGATGCTCATTAACCTTTGAAAAATCTCTCTTCGCATATTTTTAACCCAATCATGAGGCACCAACTTGTGAGTCTTTGGTAATTTGCACCCTTTCTTTTCCTCATTTTTTTTTTCTGACCAAATGAATAATAAGGTTTTCATAGTCAGCTGGTAACCACTCAGTTTAAAAACCTTCAGAAAGGCATCGTCATTAATATCATTATCATTAAAGCTTGCAGTTTCTTTGTTCTGTTTATCACCAAAAAAAAGAAAAAGAAAAAACAGGACCAGCTTTAGCTAAGAGCTGGGTAATCATATGTACCTTTATGTGTGCTTTGGCTTTGTTGAGCAGGCCCAAGGTAGTGTGACGGCTGCAGTCAGGTCCTAGGGGTATGAGGGCCTTCAACCGCTCCAGACACAGCCGCAGGTGAGCTCGTCTACAAAGGAAAAAGTAACAAAGAGGAAACAAAAGCATAATTAGATAAATAAAAAAGGAACAATAGGGCAGGGAGGCTGTGTATACAGCAAAACATGAAATACAGTGTGGTAGTTGTTTGTCTTGTTCAATAGCCTCAGGCAAGTTCATGCAGATTGGGGGAGTTCTTTAAACAAAGCATTGAATGTGTAGCCCATTGTAACTATGTATCAAAGGTCTAAAGGCTCTTAGAGGAGCAGTGCACCCTAACAAATAAAATATGGCATCTCTCTTTACTTGTGATGTCAAGCTATTTAAATTATTCAATTTAAATTATTATTTCGTCTGTAACACCCTTGCTTCAGTAGCTAGATGTAGGCAGTATTCTGTTGTCTTTGGGGTGCTGGCCTCCACCCGTGACAGATTTGGCTTGAGTCTTGATCATCTCAAAATTACGGGTCAACAACGAGGAGGTTTATCATCTGCATGTATTTAATAAATCTAGGTATGGATACTTGTCTCGCCTACATTACAATAAGTTTCATCTGGCGATAAAAGGCATGGTGGTGGTATAATGGCATTTCCAGGACCTCTCTCAGCTCATGTAGTCCATCATCCTGACAGTACCTTATTCTGTGACTGAAGACAAGCCCCAGGTACTATCTATCCTGCTAATGGACCAGAGTTGAGAGGTAAAAAGAGATAATTGTGGCTATAACACAATCACTGCTCCATTAGCAGGGGCTGTCTTTCAGCTAGCCTGGAGGGAAAGGTGGAGAGACATTAGGAGGCAGTAGACTTAGTGGAGCAACCAAGACTCAGAAACGTTCTCTTGGGACGCTTACAGGAGACAAACTCAAGGGACCAGAGCAGGGCTTCACTGCACCAAGTTGCAAGATGGGCTAGACAGCTCTCTGCTATGCTCTTTAAGACTGTTGGATACATGTAAGTGCTGCATAGAGTATATCTGTCTGTGTGCATATGTGTAGGGGTGGGGGTCAGTGTGGATGGTGTTGATAAGAACATAAGAGCAAGCCATTACAGCCATTATGCCAGTAATGTGTGCGTGAGTGTGTGCTTCAACAAACACTGCATGTTTGGGGAGGGAACTAGGAGGAGCCCTGATTCAGGCTGCGTGAGTAAAAGTTAGGAAGTCACAACACACAGACACACACAGCCTTTTATTCTGGGAGTTTGCATGATGACTATCAGGACATCTGTCCATTTAATCAGTTCTATTCACAGGACAAAGCAGAGCCCCCCCGCCCCTTTTCCTCTTTATCTGCGTAATGTATATCTGCGTGTCTCATCTCAAACCCTCGTCTACACATACATCAGTTGTCACTTATTCACATGCTACTCGTTTACAGTAGCAGCCTTGAGCGATACACGCAGCTGCACCTGGGAGACGTCGAGGACGTACAACAAAGCACAACATGGCCAAATATTTCTGAGAGTGATTAGAGTTCAGTGTATTCTGTTAAAAGCTATAATCAGGATTATTACTGGATTATGTGGAAATAAGGCATTAAGCGTAATTTGCCATGTTTGCAGTCCAACCATTTTGAAATCAACTGAGCTATGCACGTAGTGTGTTTTCAGCTCTGCTGATATGCCAATATATTATTTATCAGGGAGCTGTTGCTGAAGAGCTGGCACAAATATTAATTCGCGTTACACCAACCTCATGCATGTACACACAAGTCTCATTCACTGCTTTTTTCTAGTCTATATGCAAGCATTTTTCCACAGATGGCCATCGGCTGTCTGGTAAAGAAGCGGTGAGGGCAGAGCGGGACACAGTGCTGATGTGTGGGTCTGTCTGTCTGGCTTGTTAGGCATTTAGTTAACAAACTCCAGACATCGGAGACCACAGCTTTCTCCTCCAGTCCCAGAGAGATAAATGTAAATATCTTAGCAGACAACCCCAGATAACCCTCCACTTAAAACCACTCCTCTACTCCTTCCATCCTTCTCTCATCCTGACCCACTGACATGGACCCCCCCCCAAAAAACAAACAAAAAGAAACAAAACAGAAAAAACAAAAAAACCAAACCATGAACTGTTCTGTTGACCACTATCACCACATTTCTATCACTGGATATTACTGAACTTGTGCTTCTCGGCATGTAAACCAGTTTGTCACTGGTCTGGCTGCTAAATCAATTTTTTTCTTAAACAGCATAAAACCTCAAACACCAAAGGAAGAGATTATGATGATGATAAATAGTTTGTCACCTATTTTATCACTGTCCTTTCCTGCTTCTGACCTTTTTATAACCACCTTTGGTAATGTACTCAACACGAGCTACAGTAATCGCTAGTAGCGTTCAAAACCCTCTCTGTGCCTCTTATTGATAGACAGGCATGTGAAACGCCTGTGTGGCATGCGTTCTTATCTCTGGGTGGATGACATGCTTTACCGTGTAGCACTCCGATAACTATAAATGGCAAAGAAGTCCAAAAAGCATAACAAGGAGCGTCAGAAGAGCAGTATGTAACTGTGAAAATCAAAACTGAGAAGGGTTATTGTTGTGTAATTCTTCACTATCACATTGGACAGGCTGGTAATAGGAAGCCAAACTGGAGGTGTTATCCTCGGCAGGGCAGTGTGTCAAAAATGATCGTGCAGTATGTCCCTAAAGCTACAGGCAAGCAAAGATAATGTCAGACACGTTCACCATGTTAGTCACCAACATTAACTCGAACACCAGGCAGCAGATGTGCATATGGTGCAGTCCCTGCACAAGGTGTTCAATTCAGAGCTAAATGACCTTTGAATGTCAGTGTGATCAACTTATTTCCAATCCTGATTGCAATGACCAGCCCTGTTGAAGAGGCTGGTCTTGAAGAAGGGTACAATAATGTGGCTTGAGCCACACAGAAAGACCTCTACATCACTGTGTCAATCTAGATAAAGTATAACTGTCTTACTTAGAGGCTAAAGGTCATAAGTTCCTGGCTACTGTTGATGCCTAACAGAGCAGGGCCCTGTGCTTCGTACGTCGCTTACTACATCCAAGATTAAATGAAACATCCAAGACCAAATCATCGCGCTAACTCTGAGCTCGCTATTCCGGTTCCCCGAACACACCTGTTGTTGACGATTAGTATAGCTGGATGAAGTAATGTGAGATCACTGGGTGGCCCAACAGGGGCTACGCATCGATAGTAGAAACATTGATCGGCAACCCTTTGATTGGTCGGCGAAAATGTCGAAGGAGCGCGCTCGGTATTTTTCGGCAGCAGAGCAAGAACTCTTGAGTGAGGGATTTCAGGAGTTTCAGAGTTTAATTAAAACGCAAGGGAACACTGCAAAGGCTGCAAAAGCAAGGAGAGAGGGCTGGCAGAAAGTTGCTGACAAATCAAACTCGTAAGTAATTCAATAATAACAATAATAATGGAGTGGATTTATATAGCGCTTTTCAAGGCACCCAAAGCGCTTTACAATGCCACTATTCATTCACTCTCACATTCACACACTGGTGGAGGCAGCTACGGTTGTAGCCACAGCTGCCCTGGGGCAGACTGACAGAAGCCAGGCTGCCATATTGCGCCATCGGCCCCTCTGGCCAACACCAGTAGGCGGTAGTGTAGATTTATCATATCACACCATATTATCCAATATTATATTACATTATATTATATTATATTATAATATGTTATATTATATCCCCTTTCACATTAGAGCCACAACAGGACCCACTAGAACATGGGAACAAGTAAAAGTGAAATATAAGAATATTCTACAGAATGGTAATATTTATCACTTATATTGCTTGTCGTCTCTTGGAAAGAGACCCTGGAATACTCTGTTTGTTTGTTCATAACAGCAACCAAGAAAAGGGCAGAGCAAAAAAAAAAAGACAGGTGGTGGTCCTGCACCCCCTCGTCAACAAGTTGGTTAAGTGAATAATACCCTCACGGGAAAATCGATATCTCTCTATGAGCACACTGTCGCGCTGAGCTAAAGGATCCTGTCTGTCCCGCAATATACGCTGAATTCTGAGGACTCTCCTTATCAATCTTGCACCTTCCGCAATGGGTTGCTCGCGTAAACGGACAGGATATGACTGCGACAGACTTCCCAAATCCACCTTCGCTTTTATAGCCGTGGTCTCTCATCTTGATTACACGAAGTAATTTACAATTACTACTCTGAAATATGAATTACATCTGTAATAATCACATACATGTAATAGAATGTTAATAGTACATTTCCCTTTTTTAGGGAATGACCTGTATGTATCTGTGTGAAATCAATAAAAGGATCAAGTGCTGCATTATCTTTAGTTACATTGATGTTATTTATTTATGGTGAAACAGTGGTGGAATATCGCTGTTGCTTTCGTATGAATGACGCGGACATACCTGCGTGGCCGCGATCTAATCCTGTTTACATAAAGTAAACCTGCTCCCCAGCAGGTTTACGCTTACGGCTCTGTTGCTATGACAGCAAGTCCCGGATGGGCTTCGGGGAACCGAACGATCCAGGATCACGCGAAATCGTCAACAATCTCATCCAGCTAACTCACTTAGCGCGGTACGAAGAACAGGCCCCGGGTCTCTAATCCCTAAAAAGGCTTGTTTATCATGTAGACCAGCAGCCAAAGAGCTTAAGCCCTTTACAGCTTACAATATGAGTGCAGGCTTGTGACCATAAATACCTGCTTGCTGCAGGCAGTATCACCTCCACCCTGTTGTAGCTATGTAACCAGCAATAGAGCCTTCTGTTCCCAGAGTTCTTAGAAAAGGCCGGTGCCAGTTACATAAACAGCTATGGATTTACTGTGTAGCCCCATAACTTCATGTCCTCTGCTGCTAATGCTAAGGACTGCTTAAACATATTTGGTTAAAGGATATGACATCACAGGATCACAGGGTGATTCAGTGGTGACTGATGTGGAGTCAATTTCAGTGGAGTTAAATAACAAGAAGTTGATTCTGTTCATCTGGACGTAGCGTTTTCTGTGAGAGAAACGTTTGGTCACTCATCCAAGTGACTTCTTCAGTCTCAGCTG